CAGCTCGGCGGCGGCGGCGGCTTCTCTCATCCGTGCACGGAGCCCCGCATCGCCACGGCGGGCAGTAAGCTGCAGCCTGGCGCGGGGGACCGGAGCCCCGAAGTGCGGGAGAGACTCGGCTCCGCCTCCGCCTCTGCCTCTAGCCCGCCGCAGGAGCCGCTCGCGCCGCGGCCATCTTGGAAACGGCGACCGTCCAGCGCCGGGCTACGGCGGGCGGCGAGGGACAAGCCTCCGAGGGCGGCGGCGGGCGCGGGAGCGGACGCGCGGGGAGGGCCCGGGATGGGAGGGGTGGAGGCGCGGCGACCCAGGCGCCGCAGAGGGAGCAAGTCGGGGTAGCGGCGCTCTGCCCCGGGGGCCGGGGCCTCGCCGCCGCCGTGTGGCTTCGCTCGCGGGGAACGTGCGGTGAGCTGTGCGTGTCTGTGCTCCCAGGTGGTCAGCGGGGGGCGTGCACGGAGGACCCCGGGGAGGGCAGCGCGGCCTCGATTAGGCGGCAATTCGTGACTTTTAGGTGCTTTGTGAACTTTAGCAAGAGGATCGTCGCCAAACGTAGATGTCATCCTCAAGAACAGGGATGGATGTAACGCAGCCGCTCACAGCTCACGCAGGCGTGAAGGCTTTGAGAGACCTGTGAGCCCTGGGGGGCTGGGGGTGCACTCTGATGAAAGTGCAATCTTCAACACACACGTAAAACTCAGGTTTTTGAGACTATTTAAACAAAGACTCTGGAACATTAAAGTTACCCTCCTATCAGCGGGGCGGGAAAGAACACTGAGATCTAACCTTGTAACCTCAGTATCACAAGAGAGGGTATTGATCCTCTGGAAACTCGGGCTGGAGTGCTCCTACACTGAAGGAAAAAAGAAGACAGTTCTAAAGATTATTTCAGAGTTACAGAAATACTGTTGAAATTCCACCGCATCGTTAATTCAGAGCATTTAAGGCTTCGCTGTTTTAAGTTGCAGACATTTACAAAATCTCCCATAGGGTGAAATCCAGAGTTAATTCAAACACGGCATCGTTTAAAGTTAAGTACATTTCTATTCACTCAAATGAGCTAGTTTTCTAAAGCTTATTTGGTTGAGCCTGAATATGTAAAATACACGTTTTGATTATATGTTGGTAAGAAAACTGGCCAAGATGGAAAAACTTAAATGTGATTCTATTTAAAGGCCACTTAGCTATATTGCACTTAAAAGTATATGATATTGTAGATAACATATTTGTGTATTTCACATATATATGTGAAATTAGCTGTATTGCATTCAAAGTATGGTACAGAAATTTCTCTGTAGTTTAAGAATTTTTTCAGTCTGTTTTCTTTATTAAGGTAGTCTGTATTATTTATATGACCTGATAGTGCTGTATTTCCAAATTGAAATTAGTTTTATTTATTCAACAACATTCATTCCACAAGTGAATAAAATAATAAAATTTATTAAATGCATATATGTGCTAGGAACTGAAGTAGATGCTGGAAAAATAGAGGTGAGCAAAACAGACTAAGTCTTTTCCTGGTAGACCTGACATCCTAGTTGAGTGAGGAGAAAAGAGAGAAAACAAGAAAACCAAATAAACAAGCAAATAAGTAACATTTCAGCGGGTGATAACTGCCGTGGAAAAAAGTAAGGGGAAGGGCAGTTTGGAGGGGACAATGCTATTTTACACACATTGGTCAGGATAAAGTTAAATGATTTACTCATACAGCTATTTCAAAGGAAATCTGTGATAAATTCTTATCGAATTTCAGATTTTCTTTTGAAATAGTGGTATGACCAAATCACTTAACTCTATCCTAACACACCTTTAAGTATTTTAATATTTTGAATAAGTTATTCAAATAATAATATTTTGAATAAATGGTTCACAAATCACTCCTGAAGACAGTCAGCCTGGGGCCTGTCCTCAGGTCTCCCAGTTTATAAATCTATGATATTTGATTTTTAGACTAGCCTTTGAGAGATGTATGGTTTGTTGTTGTTTTAATTTCTACTTAAGGGTACTGCCTATTTTAGCAGAACTCAAACAAATTTACACTTAATAATCACATAAGGCATGTAGAAACCTAAGTTAATGAGTACTAAGTGTTCATTTTAAGTGCGGTGAATTTTTTTTCCATTCAAGTTAGTTTTGTGTCCTACTGCAGCCCTTTTTGTTACCTGTGTTCTCCTCCTATTCTGTGCCCCTTTATTTCGACAATTTGGTATTCCAGATTTCAAGATCAGAATTTATTTCCTTCTTACCCACACCAGCCTCACACCTGCCCTTTCCCTGTATTCTCTGACCCCTTCCCCATTCAGAGCTCTAAAGAACCATACTCTAGGCCCCTGACAGATGGGTCCACATTCTGTCAAACTCTCCCTCCCCTCTGGAATCCATTCACCCCTCCCAATTCAGACAACCAGCACATCTCACCTGGATAATCCCAACAGTCTCCTGCTCTCCCTGCCTGTCGGACTGCTCACTCCCCACCCAATCTGTTCTCACACTGTGGCCACAATAATCTTTCTGAATCTCCATCTAAACACGCCACTCTTACCTGCTTCATTTTATTGACATCTCATTGCTGTCACAATAAAGTCCTTACTGGACCTTTCTGAGTTCTTCAAAAGCTCCATGCCTGGTGCTGCTACTCGGATTGCGCAAAAGGGCTTTCCTTCTTCATCAGACCACCCTTCCCACCTGGCCAGCCCCTTCCAGTCTAAGCTCTACCTGATCCTGAGGAAGCCACCTCTAACCGGCTGAAGTGCTCTCCCAGGGCAGGAATGAGATGTGGGCTCTCTGGCAGGCTAAGCATTGGCATCCATTTGAATGGTAACTTAAAAATATTTGTTCAAAAGGGATAAACTGGTTTTATCTTAATAAAAACTATTCTAGAAACACTAACTCGATGTCACTGCGTGAAGAACGTTCAGCAAAGTCTTCCCCAGCTTTTTCATTTTTCCAAGTTTTCCTCATTTTCCTTTACGATCTTCTGAGCCAGAATCCTTCTTAGATGATACACTGGAAGTTTTACACATTATATAATCAAACAGACCCCTTTCTTCCAAATAGCACTAAACCATGTATCCTCCTCCTCACACTCAGCAAACACAGACCAGCATCAGGGAGACTTCTTGTTTTCATTTCCACTCGAGGGACCAAACAAATTTACATTTAGCCGATCACGTGAGGCATCATGTGTAGGAACCTAACTCAACTGGTACGAATATTCCTCTAAAATGCATGACTTTTTGCCCCCAGGAGCACCCACACCCAAGCCTCCATAAATATAGAGTGTATCTATATTTATAAATGTACCACTTCTCTGCTGGAGTGTCTGCTGCTTCAGGACAGGCACCTTCTGTCATCCACCACTGACTCCTAACCACCAGGGGAACAGTCCTGGAAGGAGAGGACCAGGGCTTCATCTGGTGCCCCAAACATTAGAGGAATTCAGTAAATACTATTGCTTTCAGGAAGTAGGATTTTTTAAAATATTAATGAAGTACGATTATAATTAGATTTTTGTTTTTAAGTCTATCACTGTTTAGCATGTCTGACCTCATCGCCTCTAATCATGTTCTCAAAAACAATGATGACAAAATCTTCAGAGGGTTGCCTCTCACTCTGTACTCGAGGCTGAATTCACATAGCCCTTGCTGAATTTCTTTACTTTAAACCGAGTTACAAGCAGAGGATATACCTCAGTGGTACAGCACAAGCTTGGCATGCCCGAGGTCCTCAGTTCAATCCCTGGTACCTCCAAAAACAATTTCTTTTTAATTTAAAAGTTAAAATGAGTTACAAAAGCCAGAGTTAAGTTTTACTAAAGATCTAATTTAGGATAAGCCACAGAACATTCTCAACTTTGCTTACCACTACCGTCAGGCCCAGTTTTGACACATGCTGCCACTGTTATGAAGTCTCAAACCAATAAAGACATGGATATCTATATGTCTATGTATCTATACTTATATATGTACCAGTGTCAAGAGCATCATTATAGTGCCTTAGCTTCTTATCAAGGTTAGTGTAGCAGCAGGAAGTCAGTTTCATGTGTTCTGTTGCAAAATAATTCAAAAAGAATGTTTGAATGCCAAGCTATGCTGTAAATAGGGTTATGTCTTTGTTTAAGAAAAAACAAAACACCTGTCTAGGTTTTTACATTATTAAGAGCATGGTGATGCACTTTGAGTAAGTTTCTCCCATCCCTGTGGTATTCCACAGCTTTCCATCCAGGTTCCTGTGCCAATGCTCAAGACGTCACCAGCCCTGCCCGCTCCTCTCCAGTGGCTCCTTGGAGCTGCAGAGGCAGGAAAACAAGGGTACAAACCTCCCGATCTGCTCATGACCAGAGAGGGTTGATTCAGTTCACTGCGGCACACAGAGAAAGGCCAACACAGTGACAGAGCAGTCAAAACCTCCCTCTAGCATTTCACACATTTCCAAACTGTTACTATGACATCTGATTTCTACCTATTAGTAAAACACAAAAAACTTGGATACACACCAAAGGTAACTAGTTGTCATGCTTTTTCAATAGTCCTTGTAACATTTAAGTTTCCTCTTTCTCTGCCGAATAATGAGAAGCTAGAGCAAATCTCTCTTGTTTTTTTCTCAGGTGATTTGACCGTTTTTCGTAATTCTCCACCAGGACACAAATCATCCCTTATTTCAGACGCTTCTCTGTGCAAACGAAGGGTCTAAAGTGAGTCCCCAAAGGTTCTGAATCATTAAACAAAGAACAAATTTACTCTCTCTATTTTGATGGTTAGAATAGCAGGAATGGAACTAAGAAAGGAAAGGCCTCCAACGCAGGAAAAGTGGAGACGCCAGAGGGTGGGGCGATGCGTTAGCAGAAACCCCCACGGTCGCCCCGCCTCCCCGAGAAGCCAGGCGGTGACCAACAGGAGCGCACGCCTCCTCAGCTCTGCTCTGACCCCTCGGTTGGCCTCCCCAGGATCCCGCCAGTGCGAGGAGCAGCGGCTGGCTTTCTTTCCAAGGGGAGGTCTCTGGGGGAGCCCGCTCCTCTCGGGAGCCAGAACCTTCCGTCGTCTCCCCACCGAACGTCCCCAGGACTTGCCTGCTTCCCATCCTCTCGTTTCTCTGACCAGGTGTGAGTGCGGGAGAACGGAGACACAGCAACTGCAGTTCCTAAATTATTTTCCAGTCCCTTCAAACCAGTAAGCGGATACTTGGCACACAACACGGAACCAGGCGTGGAGAACCGGGAGGGAGCAGCGCGGAGCCACAGGCTCCTGCTCTCCATTTGCACGTGGCAGTGTCACCCTTTCCAAACGCAGTTCAGGGCTCTTCCGCCCGCTCTGGGAGGACTTCTCTGAGCTCCACCACCCACCTGCCCTAACCTGACAGTGAGGTGCTGCCCGTAAGGCCCCCATGACAGCTCAGGCAGACCCTTCGTTTAGCGCTATCCACCTACCTGTCTGCATGTCTATATGTGGTTGATGACATGTGTGTTTCCTACCCTGTGACCTTCTCAAGAGCAGGCAATAGTTCTTGGTATCACTGTATCTTCAGCACCGAGAATAACACCCTGCACATAGTACATGCTCAGTAAAATGTCTGTTGAAAAAATGAACTGGATGAATGGATAGATAGATGAAGGAATGGATCTCATTGGGAAAATAAGCCTAAGAGAAAAATTGCTGTGGTACAAGTAGATTCTAAGAAGCATCAGAGGGGGAGGGTGTAGCTCAAGTGGTAGAGTGCATGCTTAGCATACACGAGGTCCTGGGTTCAATCCCCAGTACCTCCCCTAAAAATAAATAAACCTAGTTACCTCCTCCCCCAACAACAACAACCAAGAAAAGAAAAGAAAAGAAAAGGATAAGAAGCCTCAAAAGGCAGATTTGGGGGGTAGAGTGTAGCTCAGTGGTAGCACGAAGTCCTGGGTTCAGTCCCCAGTACCTCCATCAAATAAATAAAGGAAGAAAACCTAATTCCCACCCCCCGCCAAAAAAAAAACCCCATATATATATATAGTCCTATATGTCAATTACACCA